CCCTCCGAGCTCACAAGTTCCCACATGCCCCACACGATAACGACTGAAAGCAATGATCAGGATACGCACCTGAGGAAACGTGAGCGCATCTCTAGCATCGTTGAACTGATGGTCTCACCACCACTGGCCCAGAACTTACATGATGATCGAGTCCCCCCGCAGGTGACCAACGCCTGCAAACTATCATCGCGACAACTGGTTGCACGTGAACCCAGCGTTGCGCACGGGAGCAAGCACAATCACTTCGCCTGATCAGTTTGATGTATGCGGAGATGCGTCGCTGCGAAACCTCTCACATTGCTCATTACCTAAACCAACAAGGTGGGCGCTGTCGTGGCTGACGCTTCACCCGTTGTGCCCGTCAGCCAGGGGCGGTGGGCGGAAGGATAGCGGTAGCAAGATCGTGAGCATCAGTACCATGGTGTCCCTCATTCCTCTTGTCCTTCTCGTTCGCATATACCATCTCCCCTCCCGCCTGCACCCCCACCCCCCTTATCCACCCGAATGGTCTCCACATCTACTCCGTCCATCCTGTTCTTCTCAGGCATTCCCTATTCACTCCACCTCCGCATTCCCCAGACGTTTCACCTCAGAGAGACAGGGGGTATGGGCATACTTATCATGCTTCCCTGGACGCTCTTAATACCCATACAGCTGATGTGGCGCAGCCTGGTCAGACCAAATTGCCGCTGGCTGTGCAGGGGCGGGCGTTTATCCCCCTCCGCATCCGAATTCACAATTGCATCCTGGAACATTGAAGGCTACACAGTTTCGAAGCAGATAGAGCTTGAGAAAATCATGCTAGACAACCAAATCGGGGTATTGTGCTTGCAGGAGGCGTGGCAACTAAAATCCGAAAACTTCGTGACAGATTCCGGTTTCTTGGTCATCATGTCCGGCGGCGCCGACGAACATAGTGAAAGAGCCGGAATGGGTTTCCTCGTTGCTCGAAGTATCCGTAAATCTGTCGAAGGGTTTTGCCAAGCAATTTTAAGAATAGCTTCTCTCAAGATACGCACTCCGGGAGGGAAAGCAATGATTTTCTCAGCTTACGCGCCCCACAGCGGAAAACCATTTGATCAGCGGCACACGTTTTTCCACGACCTCGCAGACTTCGTGGAATCCAGATCAGCCCACGGACCTAAATTGATTCTGGGTGATTTCAACTCGAAGCTTTACTATCGTATGGATGGTGAGCACGCAATAGTCGGTGATCATGTTCTGTTATGTCCTGGCGCAATTTGCAAGGAGGATGCCAATCGCCACCTGACTCACTTGAATACGTGCTTGGCAAATACATGTTTCGACATCCCAATGGGCGGTCTGGCAACATGCTAAATGTAGGGACAAAGGCAGGATCCCCTGTCAGCGGGCAGTCACATTCACAGATAGATTTCTTGGGATGCGAGCAGACATGGCTGCCCAACGTCCGAAGCGTGAGTACCCGTCTGGAGGTGCCGCTGTCGTCGCATCACTTTCTAATCCAGACCTCTGTGCACATGGAGGTGGACAAGTGCCCCGCTGCAGAGCAAGCGCGTCGCCGAGACCACAACACCCTCGCCGACGACAGCGTCCGGCAGCTTTTCCAGAAGCACTTGAACGAGGTCTGGGACGACTTTGAAGAGGCAGCTCCGGACAATTCCAACGTGAACCTCGGTTGATGTCGACTGGTCGATGATTTTCATCATGCCGAGGAGAAAACACTGCCATCGGAACCGCTTCGTCCTTGCAAGCCGTGGATCAGCAGCAGCACACTGGAGCTCATTGCGATGAGACATAATGCCAGACGAGATGGCGACGCTGTCTGGGAACGGGATATTGCGAAACGCATCCGGATTTCTGCCGCCAGAGACAAAGCGAATTGGCTGGAGCATGTTACCAGAGATGGCGATTGGGCTCAGATCCGAAGATTGCGTAGAGGTCCCCAGCGAGCTCAAGGAAGACTTCGAACTAACGACGGCGAGCTGGTGGACAGCGACCGCAGGGCAGACACTCTCGCGCAGCACCTGGAGACCCAGTGGGCGGTGCGGCCGACGACTGCACTGCCGGACGCACCTGTGGCCCACCCTGCTCTTCCAGTCAACTTGGTCACCATCACTGATGAGGAGGGGATGTGGGCGGCGCGCAGACTGAAGAACCGACGAACGGGAGGTTTGGACGGCTTGCCACCAGAAGTTTGGAAAGCGCCTGCTGAAGATGGTCAACCAGCTCTGGCATGGGTCACTCGATTTTGCAATATGGTACGGTCGCAGACGACAGTGCCAGACGCTTGGCATAAATCACGAAGGCGCATGATTTACAAGAAGGGAGACCCGGCGGCCTGCGACGATTACCGACCGAACAGTTTGCTGCCAATCGGGTATAAGGTGTTCGCAACGATCATGCTGAAGAGGCTGACAGACGCCGGAGCGGAAGACAGGATGTGGCCGACACAATTTGGCTTCAGGTCACAGCGCGGCACTTCGGACGCCATCTTCGTGGCCAGACGCGCGCTCGAGGATGCATGGGCCACAAAAAAACGGGACTGTCCTTCTACTGGCGCTGGACTGGGCCAAAGCCTTCGATTCCGTGTCCCCGGAAGCGATGGCGACGTCACTTCGGAGATTCGGCTGCCCAGCCAAGTTCGTGGAAATGGTGGGCGCAATCTACGATGACAGAAAATTTGTTGTCTGATTTCGGCGCAGACTCGGGGGTGTGGCGGCAAAGCTTCGGCATCTGCCAGGGGTGCCCGTTGTCTCCGTTCTTGTTCACCATCGTCATGACGACGTTGCTGCAGGACGCGCATGAGAAGCTGCTCGAGAGACTCCCGGGCGACCCCGCTGCGCACTTCGTGCGGGAGTTGGTCTACGCAGACGACACGCTACTGCTAGATGCGAATTCCGACGTCGTGCAGGAGTTGATGTCGTGCGTGGAGGAGTGCGGCAAACAGTACGGGCGGAGCCTGAATTGGAGCAAAGTCGAGATGATGAGGGTTCGCTCCAACGCACACGTGGTGAGCAGCGTTGGTGAGACCGTGCGGGAAAAGGAGGCGATGGTGTACCTCGGGACTCAGCTTTCGTCCGACGGCCGCTGCGGTTCCGAGCCGAGCTGAGCAGGAGAATCGACGCAGCGAAGCAAGATTTTAAGATGCTGGATTCGATCTGGTCTCACGCAACTCTGTCCAGGCATAGGAAGGTGAAGATTTTTAAGACGTGTGTGGTTTTTAAATTATGCTATTGTATTTGTACTGCTTGTTTAAACCAGTCGGAGCGCAAAAGGCTGGAGGGTTTCCAGGCTAGGTGCTCGAGGAAGATATACCGAATATCATCACCCTCATATTATGGCCGCGTGTCCAACAGCGCCGTCTTAAGCATCGCCGGAGAAAGGCCGCTGAGCGAAGCTATTGCGAAGCAACAGATGGTATTTTTAGGAAAGCTCGCCAGGCGCGATGTTTGCCCCCCTCCCCTCCTCCTCCTCCTCCTGCTCCTCCTCCTCCTCCTCCTCCTCCCTCCTCCTCCTCCTCCTCCTCCTCCCTCCTCCTCCTCCTCTCTATCAGATTTCAGCCAGACATGTTTTGCAGAGCCTGGTGAGTAGATTACGGTGCGTCTGAGACCCACCAGAGGATTTGTTAACTCGTTTGTCTGTGAAACGCGAGTAGATTAGCTCCGACATCATCAATCCCACTAAGTGGGATAAATGATGCGGACGAAGCGCCGAAAGTCATCAGGGTGACTTACAGCACGTTATGTCAGAATGTGCTGTAAGTCACCTGAAATTTACCGCAAGAAGGCCCGCATGACAGATTTATGTACAATTTTCCGTTCCCATACATTTCTTATACCGCTACCCCTATAAAGCGGATTCTTGCGAGACGCCTCTCCGATGGAGGGCTCCGCTCACTGGCTTGGATGGAGTGCCGAAATGCCCCTTCACAGGCGCAATCGTCTTGTTCCGCCCTGCTCGCGCGCCGTCTGGCACAAGGCTTCTGACCTGACCTGACCCGCATTCCCCATCGGTTCTTCCTGAGAATTGTTCGTGTCCCCGACACACTCGCATTCTCAAACAGATTCATCGCACGTCCCACTCATTCATCATCCCGTCTCTCCCCTACCAATCCCAGAAACAATTGTTCATTCATTCGCCTCCCCCTCCTGGCCCCGCCTCCTTGCTCTTCTCTACCGCCCCCCAATTCTCCCCATCCCACCTTTCACGTTCAATCACCCTCTCATCTCCTCCCGCTTTTCTAGGGGCCTCCCGAACGGGGTCCGAGAAGATGGGGTCGGAAGATCGCGCCGCATCGCAGATGCATCGCCGATGCACCGGCGATGCATCCGCGACTCATCGGCGGCGTCGGCGATGTATCGGCGCCGTCGGCATGGAAGAATTAGGCTCTACATCGAGCCGAATCGGCGATGCGGCGCGATCCTCCGCTCTCGGCTACTTCGAACCCTTTCGGGAGGCGTAGATCTCTTCCTCGTCATATTTCACCCGCCCCTTCACTCCTCATGGGAGGGGAGGAGGGAGGGGAAGATGTAGCTGCGGCTTGGCACTGGGAATTGGACTTCGATCGGAACAGTGGGGCTCGACCAAACCTTCTATACCGATGCAAGGATGAAGAAGAGGCGGACGAGGAGTCCGCCCATCCTGCCACCGCAGGGACAAGCTAAGCAAGCAAGCAAAACACTGCAGAATTGAGGGTGGGTGTGGGGTGTGGGATAGGGGGGCATCTTCTGGCAGTCTTGGCAAGAACGAATGACGACTGCTAAGCCAAAGCAGTGGGCAGTTGAGCTAGAGCAGCCCACACGAAACCTGGGATCGAGTCGGATGAAGGGAGATCACGGCCACATCAAGCCACCAAAAATGCGGCGAGCCTGCGACCACACATCCACCAGCGCCGATGCTGAATGCAAGCTCCCTGGAGTTGAATACGAGTGTAGGGGAGAGATGGGGAAGGATATCGAAGACTGCGCACTCGGAATAGCAACCGCAGCATGCCGGGGAAGGTGCCCACCCCCTGTCACCCGCGGAGCAGGCCGCGCAACTCCATCTGGTGCCACAGAGCTGCCGCAACCTCCCTTCGGCCACAGATGCTCAAGTCACGCACGCATGCAAAGCTTCCACGTGCCAACGACGGAGAGGAGGGGAACAAACAAACAAACGAACGAGCCACCTTTGCGGACAAGAGTCCAGGCCTAGCTGAGACCAGATCGGGGAGGCCATGGACTCCTGGAAAATACGGGCATGCATCATGGCTGCGAGACGAACAAAAGGAGAAAGGGGAGGAAGTCCTGGTTGCAGATGCCAGCGAAGTGTGTGCGCGTTTCGGGAGGGGCCGGCGGCACGTGAGGAGCGAGGGTGCCATAGCGAGGGGCGTGAAGTGAGACTGTGCCCCACCATGGTCCCGCAGACAAGTTGAGCAACAACTCCGTCAACAAGGTGCGTCTGTCAGGCGCTGCAGCGTGGCGCTCCAGGGAAATCATCAGAACACACGTGCTCGATCGTAAGACCACAAATAAGAATCGCAGAACTACCCTGACACACCCTCCGACCAACCCAGGCCAACCCCCGAGCCAACGCTGGTCAACCCCAGCAAAGCCTCCTGGTGAACCCTTCTGGGCAACCCTGACCAGGCTAATTTCTTTCCATAAGACATCATCAGAGACTTGTGTGACCGACTGTTCCTGAATCATACGGCGCTTGATGGGGAACTCTCTAGGCGAGAAGGTAGGGACCACAGGAAATGAGAAAGAGAGAAGCACGTAGCATGCAGGCAATAAAGGGGTCGGTGGCACCCCATCATGCAGATCGGCGGGGTCAGAGTGCAAAAACACATGGGATTTGCCACATTTCTGAAATGTGATAGCGCTCCTCACGCAGATCGGCGGGGTCAGGGTCCAAAAACACAGGGATTTGCAACATGTTTGACATTCGGTGGCACCCCTCACGCAGATCGGCGGGGTCAGGGTCCAAAAACACATGGGATCTGCCACATCTCTGAAATTCGATAACACCCCTCTCGCAGATCGGCGGGGTCTGCGTCCAAAAACACATTGGATTTGTCACATTTCTGACATTCGGTGGCACCCCTCACGCAGATCGGCGGGGTCAGGGTCCAAAAACACATGGGATTTGCTACATCTCTGACATTCGGTGGCACCCCTCCCGCAGATCGGCGGGGTCAGGGTGCAAAAACACATGGGATTTGCCACATTTCTGAAATTCGGTGGCACCCCTCATGCAAATCGGCGGGGTCAGGGTGCAAAAACATATGCCACATTTCTGAAATTCGATGACACCCCTCACGCAGATCGGCGGTCAGGACACAAGAGACTTCCAACATTTTCAAATTCGGGGAGAAGATTTGGGCACAGCATACGGGAGCAAGTGGAAAATACAACAGCGAGTACAACAATAGACTCGCAATCTCCCTTCGTCTTGCTAATTACCCATCGTCTTCGCATGAAGTTCCGACGCTGCTTCACGGTGAAGCCAAAGCCTCATGACTTCGCTCTTCCATGGCCCATTCTCCGAGAGAGGGGGCCGGCGGCAGGGGGCGAAGCCCTCACGGACAAGAGAACAAGAGAAAGGCGCTGCGGGAGGTGAAATAGCGAAGTCGTCAGATTTCGGAACGCAACACGGGCCTCACGAGGCCGTTTGGGACAATTCCGGCATCCCCAGAACTCTCCAGGAGAGGAGCAGTTGCTGACACCCCACGGCGAGAAGACCTCCAAGAAACAGCGAACACTTACGATAACTTCGACGTGACGAGCCTCAGCCTGAGCCCCCCCCCACATGCCGACTCCCCCCCCTCGGCTGCATGCAAAGTGAACCCAGGCAACGGTGACCGTTAGTGCGCGGCATACTGGAGTGCCCGCGGGACCCTAGATATCCGAGAGAGCGTGAGCGTGATCCACCGCCGCTTTACTGTGGAAAATTGCCAACCTTTTCCTCCGGAACCCGGGGTTCTCCCCCCCCCCCCCTCCGAAAACTCCCCCCCCCCTGCTGGAACCCCTCCCCCCCCTCGAAAACCGGGGGGGGTCACTACCGGTTCGCCCCCCCCCCCCCCCCTCCGGATCCGGAAAACCGGGGGGGGTCACTACCGGTTGGAACACCCCCCCCCCCTCCCCCCCTCGAAAACCGGAGGGGGGTCACTACCGGTTCGACCCCCCCCCCACGCACCGCCAGCAAACGACTCCCGGTCCCTACCACCGCTCGCATCACATCCCCCACTGTTGTTCCCAGCACCACTGTCCTCACCACCACTGTCCCCACTGGTTCCACCACCGTCCCTATTGTCCCCACCAGTGCCCCCACCACTGTCGCACTGTCCCCACTGTTCCCACAACTGTTCCCACCACGGTTCCACTCTCCCCACTGTCTCCACGGACCCAACCACTGCCTATCCCCACTGTCCCCACTGTCCCACTGACTCCTCCGCTGTCCCACTGAGCTGTCCCACTGTTTCCACCACTGTCCCCACTGTCCCCACCACTGTCCCCACTGTACCTCTGTCCCATTGTCCCACCGCCGTCCTCGCCACCGCCTTTACCAGTGTCCCCACCACCATTGTACCCTCCACTGTCCCAGTGTTTCCACCTCATTCCCACTGTCCCCACACCACTGTCCCCACCACCACCGTTCCCACCACTGTCCACTGTCCCCCCTGTTCCCACCATTGTCCCCACCACTGTCCCCACCACTACCGTCCCCACCACTGTCCCACTGTCCCCCCACTGTCCCCACCACTGTCCCGCTGTCCCCTCACCACTGTCCCCACCAACACCGTCCCCACCACTGTCCGCACCCCCACTCGGTTTTCGAGGGGGGGGGGGGGGTTCGAACCGGTAGTGACCCCCCCCCTTTTCATGATGAGCTGGGGGGGGGGGGGAGGGGTTCGAACCGGTAGTGACCCCCCCCGGTTTTCCGGAGGGGGGGGGGGGGGGAGGGGTTCGAACCCGTAGTGACCCCCCCCGGTTTTCCGCCAGCAGCGGTAGAACACGCTCTTTCAGATATCCCCACCCCTTATAGAGAGGAAACAATAGCGGGCACTGGCACAGGGGGGAAACATTGAGCTGGAATCGGCGATACATCGACAGTAGATCGGCGACAGGCCCTCCAGAAACCGCAAGTTCATGGGCGGGGTGGGCTACCTGGCCCCTATCGGCGACGAATGGGCGAGCGGGGGTCGACGTATCTCTCCCTGAGCCCATCCCCGCCCTTGACCTGTGGGCCAGCACCAGAGCTCATTCTGGCGACGAGCCACTCTTACGCGTACAACCGACTCTCGTCGTCGTTTTTCGCCCCCCTGCGGAGGGTGGGATCCTTTCCAAAAAAAAGAGGAGAACAACAAAAGCGTCGCCGACCTTCTGCGAACCCGGGGATCGGTGCCGGGGCCGCTTCCACTTCTAAGGGGGCGCAGGCGCGCTGTAGGGCGGATGGCACTGAGCACCACGGGGTCCGCGGGGACCCACTGTGGGATAGCACGGGAGGCCACTTCGGCGAAGGGCCACGTCGCTTGGTCGGCCAAGGAGCTCGGCATAGACGCCCCAGCTGCCCAACATGTGGGATGCTGGAACGTCGATGCTGGAGGAAGAAGCTGCATAAACATAAACTGCCGGAGGTCCGCGCGGAGTTCTTCGGCAGGCTCTCCAGGAAGTCCGCGCGGAGCTCCGACAGTGTAGGTATGTGCAGTTGTTTTGTATCATTGAGCTGGAGCGTCTATGCTGATTTAGTCTATGCGTGTATACAACATAGAGAAAGGAAAGATCGGGGGGGGAAACAAACACGACCAGAGCCCTAAGACACAGATTCTGCGGCATTTCTCGGGCAAGATCGATCTGTGATAGCCCCTGGGCCCGCAAACCGGCGAACAAGCCCACAGTAAAGAAATGCCAACCCCAGATCTCAGGAAATTCCTTCGCCGGATTCGTGGACTCCGTGGCCGACCAAGCGAAGGGGCATGAATTTCTCAACCAGCCCAAAAGGAGCCCTGCGGCAAAGCGAGCAAAAACGACGACGAGGAGACGACCGACAGGGGAGACACGCGAAGGGGGAGGCACGCGAAGGGGGGGGCACGCGCCGCGCGCCCGGGCCCTCCGGGGGCCGTGCTGGGTCAGCGGGGGGGCGACCAAACGAAGCGGTGCACACAGCAAGCCCCTCCTGCCTCGGACCTCCCCCCCCGACGACGGCGCGCACCGACGAGTCGGTGCGTCGGCGTGATGGGGGGAGGAGCCAGCGTCGGAGGAGGATATGACCGGGAGAGGAGGAGGAGGAGGAGGAGGAGGAGGAGGAGGAGGAGGAGGAGGAGGAGGAGGAGGAGGAGGAGGAGGAGGAGGAGGAGGAGGAGGAGGAGGAGGAGGAGGAGGAGGAGGAGGAGGAGGAGGAGGAGGAGGAGGAGGAGGAGGAGGAGGAGGAGGGGAGGTGGAGGGAGGGGGAGGGGGAGGGGGAGGAGGAGAAGGATTGGAAGGAGAAGGAAGAGGAGGAGAAGGGGGAGCTTGAGGAGGAGGACGACGAGGAGGCGGAGGAGGAGTTGGACGAGGAGGAGGAGGATGGAGAGGAGGAGGAGGTGGAGGCGGAGGAGGAGTTGGAGGAGGAGGCGAGGAGGCGGAGGAGGAGGAGGATGAGGAGGAAAAGGAGGAGGAGGAGGAGGAGTTCGAGGAGGCGGAGGCTGAGGAGGTTGTGGAAGCGGAGGAGGCGGAGGCGGGGCTTTCGTAGTACTTGCGGAAATGCCAGAAAGAAGCGTGCAGGCACACAGTCTAGAGCTGAAGGGCCTGCCGCCAGCCGCAAACCAAAGGCGGGGGTTGTGGGCTTGGCACTGGGGCGCCGACGGCCTGCGCAGCTTGCCCCACAACCGCTAGGACCCCGCGAAGATCCCAATCGACCGATACCATCCCACGGGCTTGGGCAGGAGCTGGGAAATAATGATGTGCAAGTGCGCAGGGGGGGGGGGGGGGGAGAATGCCGCTTATCTCTCACACTTGAAAGGTGCCCAAGAGACATTCCAGCGAGTCGTCGCTGAGCCAAGCGAAATGTTGAATGTGGAACCCATCAGTTCTCACAGCAGTGGCCTTCTCATACTTCCTGCTGAAACGTCTGACTTCCTCGATGGAGAATCGAGGGAAACTCCCCAGAATCGACGGAAGCTCTCGTAATTGGGGGGGGCAGGAGAATCGATGGAAGCTCCCCAGAGGGCTTGGAACTTCCGGGACTCCGACTACTAGATGCTGAGGGGGTCGCCAACGACGGAGGTGTCATCGGCGATGACGGTCATCGCACTGCAGGGTCTCGGGGCCGAGATCACCATGTGGGCTCGGTTCGATCCCTCTCCAATCCAAACCTTGACCCGTTCAGACCAGCTCGCCCCAGCCGTGCTTCGTGCGGGCGCGCCGGCCTGATCAACCTCAGCCTTGACCTGGGCCAGAACCTCTTGGTCAGTCGGCGGCTCCCCATGACTCATGCCCGTCATTTGATGCGGGCCGACAGTCGAGGCAAAATTGGAAACAGCGTCAAAAATCGCGACGGAGTCCCCCTTCCCCAAGGCCACAGCAGGTGGAGGCGAAACAATCTAGCACTGGCATGCTGGATCCTGCAGCGGGCCCCAGGCCCGACCGCTTGGAGGAGGAGGAGGAAAAGGAGGAGGAGGCGGCGGAAGAGGCGGAGGTGGCGGAAGAGGCGGAGGGGTAGGAGGCAGAGGTGGCGGAGGCGGAGGAGGGAGGAGCAGTAGGAGGAGAGGAGGGAGGAGTTGGAGGAGAAGGAGGCGGAGGAGGAGGGAGTCAGAGGCGGAGGAGGCGGAGGGGCGGGGGGCAGAGGCGAAGAAGGATGCCACCCCCGCCGCTCCCCGGCGCGCAGCAGCGCCAGCGCTCCCCGCGAGCAGCGCGGGCGGCCGGCCCTGCGGAGCGCCCCGCGCCCGGCGGCGCCCCGCACGCCATGCGCGCGCGGAGGCGGCTCGGGGGGAAGCGGGCCCGAGCTGCATCTCGAATTCGAAAAGCGATCGCGAGATAGGTGTTTGAATTCACAAACCATCGACATAGGTTTTGGAACCCGAAACAGGCGCGAGATGCTGAGGCTTGCCATCGCTCGGACGTCCATTCCCCGTTGAGCTGTTTCCGGTTGTTCGCCCGTGAGGTGTGTGTTTTGTTCGGTCTGCCAGGCGAGCGAAGAGGTATGCTCTCCTCGGTGGTCCTCGCCGAGAAACAAGAGCACACGCCCGAGCGGTGCCAAGTGAGAGCGAGCCGTTGCACTGCTTTACGGCGGGCTTGTCTTCCACCGCCACCACCATAAGTACAGGACAAGGCCCGACCTAAGGAACGATCAATGAGGAACGAGACCCCATTTGTTCCAAGTAATTCCAGGAAGTCCGAAGGAACACCAGGGGGGCTCGTGCCAAAAAGGTGGCGGAACGCATGCAAACCGAAGAAACGACCGCGCCCCTTTTGAAAAGGAGGTGTTCCTTAGTCAAGCCGGACCCTGTAGGAGGGGGAGGGGGTCCTGCGCCTCCTCGTCTTCGTCCTCCTCCTCCTCGTCCTCCTCCTCCTCATCCTCCTCCACCTCCCCCCCCCAGCGTATGGTGGCGGTGGTGGGAAGCAGGCCGATGATCTTCACACGGGCACTCTCGATGGGACGCGGGCCTCGAGGCCGCCACGGGCGGAGCCGGCGCGGGGAGCGCCGCGGGGAGGCGGGGCCCACGGCTTCGGGATCTGTGGCGGCGTGCTCGTTTTTTTGTTGTGTCCGGGGCGTCGGATCTCCACCTGAGACCGGATCGCGGGACGCAGAATGGAGCAGGGACCGACCGTCCTGGCATTCCTAGAGGCCTACCGCGCAATGTCCTCAGAACCCAAAAAAGTTCGAAGAACAAAAACAAGGTCCTTAGAACATAAACCCGATGTGTCAAAACAAGACAGTCCCAGCCAGAAATATTCCAAGAACGTTCCGTGGAAACCGCAAAAGGTTCCCAGAACATTCTTTGGTAGGCCTATAGGCAAGCTGGGACGCTTCGCCACTGTTTGACAGAAGGACAGGCTGGTACGTGCGCCCTCCTTGGAGGCGCACGTTCGAACCGGACGGGTAAAAAACAGACAGGTTACACTGCATCGACACCAGGGCGGTGCGGTCAGGTCGGGCATGTCCCCCTACAGGCGGATTCTGAACGAAAGAAAACACTCACAAGAAATACTGAATTACTCCGACGGAAGGGCCCCACATGAGAACCCTCTGGGCGAATCTTGGCAAGAAGCCCTCACCGTCGTCCTCGTGGTTGGTGAGGCGTCCTGGCCGTCTCTTCTGCGTCTACTTCTCCTCGCCCTGGCGCGGGCCCTGCCCCCGCCCCCCTACGCTGCCCCCGACCTCGCCCTCCTGTTTTGGCTCCGGATTCCGAAGGGTTCCTAGGGATCCTGAGAATGGCTACGGATTCTTAAAGATTCCTAGGGATTCCTAAGGATTCCTATGGATTCCTACGGATGCCTAAGGATCCGGGCGATCAAAGTATGGTACAGGAATGATGTTCTGGGAACACGAAGAACACGAAGTGGCCTACAGTTGGCTCCGGGCAGTCAGAAAGTGGCCCGGGAGTGGTGTTCTGGGAGCACGAAGAACACGAAGTGGCCTACAGTTGGCTCTGGGCATTCAAAATGTGGCCTGGGAATGGCGTTCTGGCAGCACAAGAGCCCAAAAGTGGCGACAGTTATGGGAATTGGATGACCCGCTCGGATTCATAACATGATCCGCGGGCCCCATAGGGAGGGGGCTCCCGCTTGAGACTTCCTCGTTCTGGCAGCGCGAGAGCCCAAAAGTGGCGACAGTTACAGGAATTGGATGACCCGCTCGGATTAGTAACATGATCCGCGCGCCCCATAGGGAGGGGGCTCCCGTTTGAGACTTCCTCGCAATTCACTCACAGACGAGGCCCAAGGCGAGTGAGTGAGTGA